CTTTGAGATTTAATAAAGGAACCACAGTTTCTTATACTTTTGTCTAGGACATAAAAATCTATTCATAATCTATATTTCTAAATATTATGTTTTACGAGACTAATTTCCATGCTAGTATTTCATTCATGTCACTTGTTTATTACAGCAGTAGAAATACTGTTTCATTACAAAAGTTTGTAATTGTACACCATTTGTTTAGCATCACTAACTACAAGTTAGTTAGAACTAAAGGGAAGTTTAGAAACTATTGGTTATTAATTTATACTTCACAAATGAAATAATAGCCTATTCCGATGCAACCTATTTGAACAATGTTTATAGCCTAATAAGTGGTAAATTTGAATGTCGTGAGTATATATTCCCAACACAATGTGAATTATGTCTATGTGATACTTATTCAGAACAGTGTACACATGATAAAATTGTTTTTACACCACAGATTAGATACATATTTACATTTCACCCATAAGGTACTTGAACAATTTATGTCAAACTACAAAGGTGATAATAATAATCACGTGAGAAGTAGACAAGAATCACAATCGAACGAGTTTTTATGTAATTTAACCAATCGACTACGTCAAATGACTGTAATGCATCTGAAAGCGTTTGATATTAAAAATGGAGACCGATATAAACTAATTGTTTATGTAATACAAACAAATTATCCAGAAGGAAAATCATCATTATCTAGCACAATGATAGCAAGTTGTGGATTATTTAATAGAGAAACAGACTATTATCTATCTGAAACCATAAGAACTATTTTTGGTCATTTAATTGTAATTGTTTACGCCTGTTATCATGAATAATACATTTAATGACTTCGTATTAATGAATAAATTTGTTAATATTTTCAATTAAAAACCAAGGGCAAATCGAAATAACAAAGCTAACAGATTTAATTTAAGTACAAGTCAAGAATGGTCGGTGGGACTGTAATTTATAGATGTCCCTTGAGCGAGGCCAGTGACCTTGAGAATACCTGCCTACTAACTATGACCAAATGAGGGTTATAAACATGAGTGAGGAATTAGAATTAGGAATCACAGTTGATGGTTTTCATCACGAACTGACATCAGCTATAATGCCAAAATTATATTTAGCCAAGTGGATGAATAAATCTCGCGCCAAAATCCAAGAAGTGTTATCCTAAATCTGATTGGTTCATTCATAAATTATAGTCTCGCCGATTGATCGTTTAAAAAAAGTACTACATTATAGTGAAGTATTAATGAAAAACAAAACATTTAATGACTTTCATATGATTGAACAATGAATAAAGTCTAAAATAAACTACTAGATAGTAAGTCATATAGATTTATAAAACACTGTAAATATCACGTTTTAGTTCCTAGTTGATGTGCACTACTTCACTTTTGATAGATTTGGTAACTTACTAAAACTTAAGAAGTGTGATTGCCGAATAAATTAAACAGTTTGTGACTGATGAACATTAACTGAACTTGATGTTAATAAGTCATCATAAGTAAATCAGTGGTTGGTTTTATAATGATTACATATTTTAGATTACTCCATACAACAGAAATTTGTTATCCTGAGACGAACCCTTGAACGAAATTTTAAACTAAGCCAAAAATTCAAGAATGATAATTAAAATAAATACAGAAGGTTGCAACTTTTACGCAAAACTTGTAGATCAACTCTATGCTTCCGCTACATGGCTCACTACAGACGAATGGTGATATTAAAACTTGTAGTTTTTATTCACCTGCCATGAGTTGCTCGTTAAGTAATGGATAAATACGATATGCACTAAGCATGAACCAATACTTATGTGAATTAATGATTATCAAACGGAATTCCTTGGAAAATAAATTTATTCAAAAGCGTTTGACGCATATACTGATCGATCGTTTAACCTCGTTTGATTTAGTTAAAATTCGAATGACAATTTCAATACAGAATTCAGGGTTTCGGGAAATGTTGCGTAATTTCAAGTTTGTTCGGTAGTCGGCAAGTCAGCGTTAGATATGCCTTGTCTAACACTATAAGTAATCTATTCTGAAGGCAAACGACTTCTCGCCCTCTTGTTAGTTCAATACTCAACGATTACTTAAGGAATTGCTGAATTGTTTCAGAATTTAATAATAAATTATCAGTAAAATCTGTAACAATACATTCCTATTTAAGTTACTTGTCAGTAGATTTTGTTTTCCATCGCCTCATATAACACACAGGACATAATGTTAATAAACTATGTGAAATATACCGGATTGTATATTGCATAAACGGAATCATGCCAATGATTATGAAGAGTAACAGTTGATGAATTACTTATCATTGTTACAAAGATTAACTCGGACACATCTTTCCAATGGAAATAGACTTTAATTTTCCATTAGCGTTGTTAACTGAATAGTCAAGATTTTATGTTTCACAGAACTTGGTAAAATTTATTTTCGATATGACTGTTCAGCCGATCAACGAAGTACGCCTTGAACGATGGGCAGAGTTTTTGAGTGGCAGTCCAACTGATCTGCTTCCCCGACAATATCGATCAGACTGTCTAGTCCTGCATGGCCCCTGACGACTTATTCACCAAACAAGGTGGAAGTCCGCAAGGAACACCAACTCTTGGAGCGCTACGAATCATCAGGCCAAGGTGACTTACTTCCGGTCCTTTTTGAGGATAGTGGTGGCTTTCTGGTTAAGGAACTGGCTGAGTTGTTTGCAAAGGTCTGACAATTAGAGTGTTCTAACATCACGGAATGAGTCGATAGTTGTCCCTATATTTAAAAAGGGTTCACATCGCCTATGCAACAACTGTCGAGAGGTAAGTCTACTTTCGATTGCGTTCAAACTATTGGCTTCCGTCATACTTCATAAATTTTTCAAAACCAGAGGAAGATTGTCTCGTGAGGTGCAGGCTGATTTTCATTCTGGTCGAGGATGTATTGATCATATGTTCACTCTCCAGCAAATGTTAGAACACCGTCATACTTATCACAGGCCAACAATCGTAGTGCTTCTTGACATCAGAGCTGCTTTCCATTTGTTGGACAGGGCTGTTCTCTGGGATTGTCTATTGAAGAAGGGTGTGTCTGAGAAGTTTATCAACATCCTAAAAGCCCTATATACAAACACCTTAGGTAGAGTGAGGACATACAACCACCTTTCTACATTGTTTCATTCACGAAGTGGGATTAGACAGAGCTGCCAAATTTCACCATTCCTCTTCAACTTTGCCATCGATGACATTCTTGAAACAGCTCTGATAGATGTAAGTAATGGCGGTGTGGATCTGTTGCCTGAAGAAAGACTTCTCGACCTTGAGTATGCGGATGATATTGTCTTACTGTGCGATAATGCCCGAGCCATGAAATCCGCACATAATCAGTTGGCAATTAGTGTCCGTAGGTATGGTATATGCTTTGCACCTTCAAAGTACTTTTACAAGACCGGCAGGCCCCTGATCCTGGACTCACCCTGGGTAGTGAGCAGACATCCAGTAACATCACCATGTTAGTAATGCAGAGATTCGTTATCGTGTGTTCGGGCGCAGAGACGATAGTCCACTTGGTATCACCATCTTGAAGCATCGACTTCGGTGGCTTAAACATGTTCTACGAATGTCTTCCCAGAGAATTACACGTCGTGCATTATTTGCCGACTCTGGGAATAGTTGGAAAAAGCGGATAGGTGGTCAGTGTATGACATGGTGTCGTGGCATGAAAAAAAGCTGTACAGGCCTGGCTTGTGTTGGTCCTTCACTACTCCCTGATTGGGATCCTAGAGATGGTGCAACACAGTGGCTAGAGACGTTATCAGATATGGCTCAGAATAGAAGCCAGTGGCGATCCTGCTGTAACCTTTTCTTTCTTCATGAAAAGTGACCGTAACTTCTTTAACTGAAGGAATTCTTTCTGGTTGTATCTTTCTGTTTCTCCCATTATTATTACTATTATTTCAGTACCATACACTAATCTGTGGTCGTTATTGGTCCTTTTTTCTTCTCTCTTATACGCACCTTACATTCTTTATCTCTTCCCATTCTCATTATTATTGTGTGGCGCATATGAATCTGGTGCCCCCTTGTACCTATATCAGATATGACTCAGAATAGGAGCCAGTGGCGATCAAGATGTAACTTACTTCATAAAAAGTGATCGTAACTTCTTTAACTGAAAGAATTCTTTATGGTTATATTCTTGCTAAATGAACTGTTTCTCCCATTAATATTTCACTCCCATACACTAATTTCTGTTCGTTGTTCTCCTTTTTCTTGTACGCACTTTACATTCTCTATCACTTGACAACATTATTGTTATTGTGTGACGCATATGTATTTGGTGCATCCTTGTACTAATGTATGTGTATAGGAATAAAATAAGACAAAAGACAAATAATATTGTATTTAGTGACCATAGACGAAAGTTCGACTCAAAGTAAAAGGTTAATAAAAAACAGCATACAATATGCAAATTAGTTACGGTAAATAAAACACTAATGTTCTACAGCATTAGCTCTCATGACTGCTATAAAGTTAAGGCCCCTAAATGCCCTGGTACGGCAGAGAGTGGAGTGAGTCCGCTCTCCCTCTCGAAATGCTCTCACATGGCTACGCGTATATAGCCTTTAACAGGGAAGTCCTACTCACTACCTTCTCGTGGCAGGGGTGTTGTTTACGAAAATGAGAGGACGAAAAGCGAATGTCCGGCGCTTTAACCGAGTTGGTGGATATGAAGAGTCCACCTAGAGGAGTTGGAAAACCCTGATTCCAAACCAATGGTGCACATGGGCTCCAATAACCTGAAGGAACAAATGGCGTATGAACCAATCGTTGGACACCGGCTACCACGGGAATGCATTTCCTTACGATGTTCCACTGCCTTGTGAATCAGACCTTCAGGTCGAAGGCTCCGGGTGTGGCCCTCTAAGAAAACCACCTGCTTCTGTTTGGGCACCCGGGCAGTATCATAACCCTCACAAATATCAAATGAGATTTGTGTGGCGCATATGTATTTGGTGCCTCCTCGTACCAATATCTATGTGTTAAAATAGACAAATAAATAAATAAATAATACATAAAAGCTTATACCGTAAATCATTTAGTTGAAAAAATTTAATGCTTAAGTTTTTGATAATTATCTAATGAGTTGACAAGACTTTACAATAATTATCAGCTTATTATATAATGTTATTGAAAGCAAACAATGGAAAGAATGTGTCAATAAATTCGTGATAATTGATCACACTTTGCTTTTACTAAATTAATAGATTGAGAAAGAAACAGTTGACGAAGAACAAATGCATTTATAATTGGTGTTCTTCATCTTATTTATTCATCGATTTTCATAGCACTGAATGCATAATTTAGTGATAAATTACTACTCCAACGCCATCGACGACTTAATGGGTTATATAACATTCCACTGAGTTGACGCGGTTGCAAACCACCTAAAGAAGTAAACAAAAAAGCAACTAGAAAGTAAGGTTAGAGTTAAAAAGTTTATATACAGCTAAGATCGGTTTGTAATTTCAAAAATGAAAATACTACAACCTCCATAAATCCCCCGTACCAATATAATCATAAGCTAACTAGTGACTAACTGCAAGATATAACTTCTGGAGTTCTATTGAGAATCCGTGACAAGTGGAGTTTAATCCGTGTTGGGTGAGAAAGTTATCGACCACAAGCAATGGATGAAGGTTTGTGCAAGATTGTGGATTGATTGAAATTATACATCAACACCGTCGAATAATGCCTCAGTGGTTTAGAGTTTAAGCATTCGTGCGTTAGACCGAAGATTCTGTGCCCGATCTCCACAAACTCTTATACTAATATACATTAGTGTTTGACTACTTAAAAGATTACATTATCCTCAACCTAAAGTGGTTATTACCATGATGGTTAATTTTAGTCTTATAAATATTGTTATTATAATGTTTATTATTCCGTATCATGGTAATCAAGACAATCAAATAACTAAAAAGAAAACATAAATAAAATGGAATAAAATAAAATCCACTATTAGAACTTACGCTTGATACAAGCAATCTGTAACCGACTAGGTTCAATGAATTTATTCCAATCATGAGTACCACGTGGAACAATACGAGCTACATATTCAGCTACACCAATTCCTAGTAGTAATGAAGCGGTAGTACGATTTATTGTAGTTACGAATAACATTCCTTCTAACTAAGAAAGAGATTATAAATAACATCAATTAAATAACAGAATTTAATTGAAAAACACAAAAACAAAAACATCAACAAAATAATTCGAAAATGTACAGAGAGCAACGTTTATTGACAGTTTAGTATTGAGAGTTAAAATACAATCTGATATGGTGAGTAGTGAACAAATCGATTAAAGTGGGAACGGCATATAAAGTTAATATTTTTTCCCAACTGTCTATGACATATAATCACATCCTGAGAAGGGGCAATTATAAGACTTAGTCAATTAGTTCGATCCGTTGGTTATAGATCTCTAATTGTACGGTAATTGGTCACGTAGTAAGTTAGTGATTAATTGATATTAATTACTACTCAGTTCCAAATTACACAAATCTAACTGTTAATAAATCACATAAAAAGTGGTGTATTCACACATTATTTTGATTTATTTCCGGGTTCAAATAGATATATATTGCTAGCCTTTGTATGTTCACTATACATCATCAGATTTGAGGGTTTCAGTACCAAGGGACAAGTAAGTTAAGCACATCTAGATATATAACAAGTGACAAACACTACACCATCCATCAATTATGTCCAGTTTAATGGATTCAAAGATGAAATATACAGGAAATGTAAGTGTTATACAAGTTGTTAGAGTCCTATGCTACTCTGTAGCCAAACATCCATAGCAAATGAATGTGGGTTGAACGCATAAACTACAAAATTTTAAATTCGTGTGAAATTAATCAGCACGTTTTCAATTCATTCATATTTATTACGACAAGTATTACTGTAGTGGACAGAACACGGGCCGAGACAATCAAATGTTTTTAACACAAAATTACAGGACTTGTTAATAAAATCTAACAATCATAAAGTAAATGCTTAATTTGCAAAATGCCCACCAATTGTCTCAGACTTCATTGTTCGTGCATTTTCATACAAATCGCATCCTGTTTCCATTCTTTACTGTTAGATCCTCTTGTCTCTCTGCTGCCATACCTTCTGTTCACGACTAACATCATATACTACTTATGTCAATATAAGTAACACACACCACATTATAACTGAAGTAGATTTCAAAATAATTAGGTCGTGTAACCCGACCGTTGTTGCTACCTTGACGTGGTGGTCGGGATAGCCTATCATGATGAACCAATCGAGCTATACTGACTGGAACAATCGTTCATAAAGGTCCTACTATACCAAACAGGTCGGTTGAAAAGCGGTAAGACTAAAAGCAGCAAACCCAAGGTCCGAGGACGAAGTCGTACGGCTGACTGCACCAACGTATGACGCCAAACAACCAGTATAACAGCGGTGCAGCATTCTCATAAGGAAGGGTGAAGTTAGAAGCGGTCGACCCTAAAAATGCACACCTTGTCCTACGCTATGGATTTCCGTTTTAGACAGTAAGGTCTCAACAAGTACGGAGCTAACACGAAAATTACTCACGCAAAAGTCGTGTGTGACCGACCTCAAGACGTTATCCCTTGAGCACTGCGGTCACGTTCGTAGGTTACTAAAACTAACTCGGACCCCAATCTCCTTTTCAGGTACCTCTGAAAACTCCTTTCACGGTGCGGGAAACCGGGAAGTAATAACCGCCATCATACCTCTAACAGCACTCAAAGGTCGTGTAACTCCGTCAACATTGATTGAAATCTGGAAAAAATCACTTATACACATTGATGAGTACAAACTTCGGTTTACCAATTTGGTATTTTCATTCTTCATATAAATGTCTATTATGGAATGATTTTGATAAATATTATCAGTATTTTTAGACACGAAAAAAGAGAGTATGAGAAGAGAGTCACGTATTCTTAAGTTCAGTTACATTGATGGCGATCTTTCACTGGCAAAAGTATTACACTGATTCAGATGAAGTTAATCGGTCATTTGCCTTTGTAGATCTTCAATCATAAAGCTGAGTAATGCGAGCAAATCTTTATTATATTTGAGGTATTCCAATGAAAATGATTATGATAAATCGTATTCTACAAAGTTTCCAAAACATTTGTAGTGGCTTAACTTCGTTAATTAATCACCTTGATAACCGTTATTATAGAAAACTCGACGGTGTTTGAATTCAGAAGGCAATAAGAAGCGGCGACTACAGTTTATTAGCGGATAGTACAGATAAAAAATTTACAAGCACATCGAGCGAATTGGAGTGGATAGGCTCTTGTGTGTGCTAGCGAACACAGAGGCGAATTCACAGTCAAATAGAATCAAGGCGTAGCTATGCAAGGCAATTCAAGCATCTATATACATAGGAAAGAGAATGATTCATCTAGCGATATTCAAATGATTAACATTTAAGCTAGAGAGATATGTGCGTAGGTTGTTACATGTGATCAAACATACATGCTTATACAGACATGATAGTGATCATAATAATACAAAGAAATAGACGAATTGTTACTGTCTGAATAGCATTGTCTGTTAAATAAGTTAATAAAAGGGCTTGACAACAATTAACTATAATAGAAATTAATCGTAGGAGTGTTGCTATACTTGGTTTGAGATATCTCATAAACAACACATTACTGGTCTTTGATAAACGTACTAAAAACACACTATCTCGACAACTGTCGTCATTATCAAACAACGAAGCTATCACTTATAGACTTGAAAGCATAGTTCATTTTATATCGAATGGTGAATGAATTTGCTGTTTTTCGAAAGCAAAGTTGACAGCAAACAATATTTCTTGACAAAATGTTTGTTCGTTTTTAGTAATCGTAATCAGAATTTGTATGCAGGTAAGGTATGAAATTTTCGAGATCGACTATTTCTGATCTCTTGCTTTCGTTGTGAGAAGGTAGATTCGCTGCAGATGCTGACTTCTGAGGAAAAGATCCTACTGACGCCATAATTCAGTACAATGAGCAGCGCGACTTTGTCCTCGAACCATGAGTTTTCTGCTTCTAGTTTTGACGTTCTCCAACCGGCCTCCCTGAGATGGTAGGAACAACTGTTTCACCTAATATAGCTTGACCGAGTCATTATGATACGTAAGCCCGACCACTACGGTGAAGCTAGCTACGATCGGAGTTACCGAGTACAGTGTTAGTGTATCAAAACGTATTATCTATTAGTAATAAATATATCTCAATGAGCAGAAAATTGTATTTCTGACGTTTTATTACTTAATGTAAGTCACTTCTCCCAAGCATACAAATAACAGATCGTGACTTACGTTAAGCCACGAAACGTCAGAAATACCATTTTTTATTCATTGGGATATTAGAAAAGTATATTTGTTATTTACTTTTTAGCCAATGCTCGATTTATTTGAAAATATCAAGTCCCACCTTCGTATTGGTATCGTCTATTATCATGTGTGTAAATGCAAAACGTTCTTTTTTCAACATTACGACACACTGTTAATATTGTTTGTGAAGAGATTTCTCCGTGAATGCTGTTTCGTTTATTATCGAAGGATTTGAGAGTAAATATGATCTTGATGAACAATCGGAATTAAAGAACTAAAAACTATTATATACATATTCAAGAATAATATCTATGAAATATTTCTTACTTTCAAGCACTGTTTTAAACTGTTCAACATATCCTCCCAATCAGTAACGTGTTCTAATACTTCAGACGCAACAACTGCGTCGAATTGACATGGATACTCTTGACTAATTGATTGCACACTAGTAAGTTTATATGTAGGTTTATGTAAATCTGGATGATCAACCCAGCGATAAGATGTAGCTTCAACATGTTCTTGTGCTACTTTTATACCTTCTTCTACTAAGTCTATGCCCAAAACTTCTGCTCCCAACATAGATAGTGCCTAGTAAGGAATTATTCCAAGATAAACAGTATGAAAGATTTATTAAAAGAAATATTAATTGAAAAAATTAAGCGATTTAGGGAACTAAAGCTACTTTTATGAAACATCTTAAAAAAGTGATGAGTTTTTTCGACAGAAAGAAATATCATCTAACTGAGTTATCTTCTAAGTAAATAATTAGATAAAATCTCAAATTGCACGATAGACGAATGATGACTGAACTCTTGAAAGCTAAAAAAATATGTGGGTAACTGGATAAAATGTAAATAAATCAACTGTATTATAATTATTCGTATGGCAATTTAGTGAATGTATACTATGATGATCGTTCTTGATATTAGGTGGTTGGAAGCAGTCGACAGGAAACCATGGGCCGAAGTTTCGTCCCAGTCGGTACTCTCCAGAAAGGCGTACCTGGAATCAAATACACTAAAACGTTCCGAATCAATTATAAATATCACAGTGATGCAGGAGGTAATTCAAAGTCCTAAAAACGAAGTTGTAACGTTTAAGATTGTGTAGCAGAGAGACATAGGCTCGAATCCCATGGGGAGAATCAGTCTCATTAAGATTGTCAACTAGAACGAAACGTTGATCCAGGGTCTTTCGAAGGTTATCCCCAACCACCTAGTATATAGACAGTGCAAACAGTTTCGAGTCACTTAGACTAGTGGATGTCGTCGTTATATTAACAAAAATAATCTGCCTAAAATATAGTAAGCATTTTTATGAAAGTACAACCCTTTTAGCGTTCTGAATGAAGCTTTTCAAATGTTTGGTGTATGTTTCGTCCTCTAACATTTCAAAAAGCAAATTTATAACTAGTCAGCAAACGTTCACAATATAACCATAAAAATTAAGGGATGATTTTGATGACTAATTTGTCAGCCTGTAAAGTAATGTGTTATTCGAAGAGTTATTATGTTAGATTGTATAACTGCTTTGAAGATGAAAATAAATTATCAAGATGATATTGGCAATCAGGTTAAAGTACACAATGTTTTAACTCGAAAAGCTTTGTTTTCTCAAACAATATGAATCATTGATTGAAGACAGATACCAATGAAATCTGTAACCTAATACATGATACGACCCCATCCATTCATTTGTATTAATTTCTCAATCCTTTCTAATAACCAACTATATCGCGAACTCCTGAGAGAATTTACATTTATGTACAAATCTGTGAATTATAGTGAATGACATGAACCACAGTCAACTTCTGATCTGACCACTTAAAACATTTTTTATTTTATCTTTAGACCGATGGGATTTTGTCGACTTCAAAAATTAGATAACCTGACATTGACTGTGACTAAACGATCAGTCGGTATAAATACCTCAGCTCTCTAAGAGGCCAGTCACGACCCGAATAGCTCAGTAGTAAATTCATAGAATGTGACATTAAGTGACAGGGCACATATTAGATCCCTAAATATTAAAAATATGTCCTGAAGACGACCTTCAGCTAGCAGAGAACTAGGATTGATAGCTCCAAAGATGATCACTTTCAGTCAACTTACACTTCATCATGAAACCTTAATAAAACGAAACACAGACTGACGACGTTCAGAGAAAGTTGTTATTATGAGAACATGTTGATCAACCCACCTTGATAATCAACAGTTGATTGATTCTGGTATTATAAGAATGGCTAAATGAGCACTTCTAAATAGTGTACGAGAAAAGTGAACGACTAGATATTTCATAAAGTGAAAACTTCGAATACAGATAAGACATACTTTTATAAATGCAATTTATGCAGATACATTAACGACCGATAAATAAACGCAAACATGATAAGAAATAACTCACTTCCGCTAGAATACCTCCACCACAACCAACATCTAAAATCTTCGTACCTTTCAAAGGTAAACAAGCTGAATCAACTGTAGATAATGTAGTTAATGGACAAAGACCATTTTGAATAAATGGTACACGCAAACGATTCATAGTATGCAATGGCTGTAAATCTCCTTTGAAAATAAAATATATAAGTAGAAAGTAGTTTTATCCGTTTACAACAATCATATGTAACTATCACATATTTATACGATACTAGATATAAGTAAATGAACAGTGAAACCAAGATGAATGCAACCTGTCAACAAATGAGATAATATACAAAAGAGATGCAATTAAATAACTAGACACGATGTGTAACTAATAAAAGGAATTAGTACATTGTACTGTTTGTAATAATGAGTGCATATTATTTTCTACAATTTAAATTCGACAGAAACTATATTAGGCCCCCAAACGCCCTGGTACGACTGAGGGTTGGGAGAACCAGTTCTCTCTTTCTCTCCAAATGATATCACATGGCCACGAGTATACAGCCACTACCAGGAAAGTCCTGCTAACTGCTTTCTCGAGGCGAGGGGTTTTCTTACGAAATTCAGAAGATGAAAAGCGCATGTTCGGTGCTTCAACTAGGTTGGTGGATATAGAGGATACACCTAAGGGAGTTGGAAAACCCTGACTCCAAACCAATGGTGTATATACTTTCCAAGATCCTGAGGGAACAAATAGTGTATGGACCTATTATCGGTCATCGGCTACCATGAAACTGCATCTCCTAACGTTGCTCCACTGCCTTGTGGATTAGACCTCTGAGTTAAAGTCTCGGGAAGCAATCGACTAAGAAAACCACCCGCTTCACTTTGGGCGACCGGGCAGTATTCTCACCCTCACACAGATCGAATGGCGAAATGTCGTGCATATATATTTGGTGCCTCGTTGTACTTTCAACTTAGCAGGTCACAGGTTTAAATCCTGTTTCATATATTTCAGTGAGGACAGATAAGTAGTATCACCAACGCACTGTGTGATTTAAAGCCAAATACAAAAAAGTGTACTTGGTTAGTTAATGTACTATCTGAACAACCAATAGTGAAAGCAAAAATAAAACCAATAGATTAAAAAAAATTTACAAACATAACTAAACTGATTAGGATGACTTAATTCAATGCCACATATGTATCCAATATTTAATGAATTCCTAATATGTACCATTTTGTCTCATAAAATCAATTATAGTACACACCACAATTTTCTAATTATAGAAAGGCAGAACCTCTGGAGATATTGCTTATCCGTCAAGTCCCTAAATTTTGCCATACTCTGGCACAATCAAAAGCACAACTTTGTAATTTCGAAAGGATCTACTTGGCTCTAATCTTATGTTTATCCTACTAGGACCTTAAGGCACAAACGGTACATTTAATAGAGTAGTCACGACAGACCATCCCAACTTTGTATCTAGGTAGCAAATAAGGTTATTATTATTATTAATGGCTTTATTCAATATAATTTTGGTACAACATAGAATTCTCAGCACAAAGTATTTCAACAAGTTTGCTTTCTTTATTTCTTCATCTATCCTGACGATAAATATTGAGTGATCACCAGTTAGATGTTAGCAGTTCAAGAATTGACATCTGAACAATGATCATTCTTTTCAATGCATATTGACATCCATCACAATGTCTCTGATCATACTTTTTTGTAACTCGTACGGCGAAAGATTGTAAGCTCTTCATAAACACGCAAAAGACACATAACTTGTCCAGATATGTTGATGTCAGAAACAGGTAACCCAGATATTCAAGAAGGTCGCCAAATTTAAGCTAACTTGAAATATTATGGACTGAAGAGATAAACTTATGAAGATATCTTAAAGTAAACTAATACATTTAAGAAAGAATTTGAAGAAATTTACGAATTCACCATTAAATTTAAAAGAACCTTCTCAGAAACACGTATCATTTGCCGATCTCAATGGGAGAAAACAATTGCGAAAGACAAAACATGCAATTTAACAGTTCATGAAGCATATATACTTGAGATATTGCTTAAAGTTAATAGAAAGATTTATAAATATACCACACTTCCTGTAAGTAAATAATAGGCATTTCATTGATATTTGAGTTGATAAAATCTATGAAGCTACATGTTTACTGTAATTCAGTCCCCAGATCGTTTATATATCCATAAATTATGAAAAAGTTTGTGTCTGGTGATTAGTTCGTCAAATATTCTAGTTACTGAGTCACAATATAAATATAAAACATATATCATGTGAATAACATATACCTTATATACCAAGGAGATTTCAAAGTATTCTACTTTGAGATCAATTGTTTGAAAGAGCCTCAATGATACTACTTGACCAGTAAAATCAAAGTGGTTTGAGATCAGAACATGAAGCGTACTGGTTGAGAAAGGTAAATGTTTTAGCCATTAAGTCATTGTTCCACAAAAACAGTGGACAAAACTACTGATTTTCAAAGTATATAACCTTTTAAAAATATACACAACAGTAAACAGGATCAAGAAGACCTTTAGGATCACCTGTCGAGCCTTATGACTTAAAATCCACACAATATTCAAACATGTACAAGTAAACAAAAAGCAGTATCGAGACAAATAGTGAGAAATTACACAGCACTCACCATCATAGTCCCACCAATGCTGGGCGAAACGTTTGAAGTTAGCGCCTTCTGTTTCGTCGACTTGCATACTGGAAAAATTCTGACAACTCTTCATTCCACTGAGGGATGGAAAACATTTCTGCTTGAGTAATTTCACAGCAGGAAACAAGTAATGACGTGCCATAGTTTCTTAGTTCTGTAGAGAAAATACAAAAAGATCCACCAAGAACATCAACAACAGCATTAGGGACTAGTTAGATGAAAACACTCCATAGCATCGGATTTAATTTGGTTTAAAAGAATATTTTTCGGTACGCTACAAGCTAGGTAAATGGATTCCCACTTAGTTTGATGAACATCAAAAGATCACATAAAGAATCCTACAATTACTTGCATCAACCTAGAAGTTAAGGATTGATGCACTGATAACTTGACACACATGACATCGATCACCACTACTCAGTGATCAATCAATTGTGATTGATGCACTGTATTTCGAAAACGAGTTGGAATCAGTTGACCGGAAACAGCATAGATATTAGTATAAAGAAGTAATGAAACATAAAACTGAATTCAACAAATTTCAAACTAACTTTTCACAATAAAAACAAACGACGGTCAGAGATTCGATTGAAAACAAAGTAAGCTTAAGGGAAGAAAGAAATACTTCAAGACTATCTGAGGAATAATTGAAAAAATCAAGATGGAAAGTAGACTATATAATTCGAATAAATGTTTCTAATTCTCATAATAGTTACGAAGTTGAGAAAGTACTGGATGGGAATGATTGGGAATTAACAACATGAACCATTTAATCCGAGCGTCTACAGATTAAAACTTATCAATGATAGATATTTTAAGTCTCAGAGAATCACACAGAAACAGTCCGAATATGCAATTTACAATTTTTCGCTCCACAATAAATTCTATTGGGAAATATGCAAGAAATTTACAACAGATTTAGTGAATGCTACTACGGTAGTTATAGTCATCAAGATTGAGAAGTGATTTCTTTAACCAAGCAAAATCAGTACAGTTGGATGACCCAATTCCTAAGCAATTTTAGGTCTAATTAAAATCGCTCGCTTTTCTACTCAAAAACATATCAGATATACTTAAATATTATTATTCAAGCTGTTACATTGAGTTTTAGAATGTAATTTGTTACTATATAGAAAGAATCTCGTAACATGATTTCGACGGATTAGATTAACTTTTTTATGGTTTCTGATAATTTGCACTTGTTCGCATTTCTAAAAGAAACCTAAATACACTGTAATATATTTTTCATCATATCACTACACACAGAGTTGGTGAAGTAGACGCTTAACCTGAATTTTACTAAGTAAAGACGTGAAGAAACATAAATCCATACATGAGAATTATACATTTAAGACATTACTTAACGTTGTCAGTTTGAAGGGAAATACACTAGAACTTCTCATTCGTAGAGAATAACAGTTCTGTATAAGTGCAAGGAAAATATGTCTGATCTACATGGTTAGTTCTGAACATCCCGATAGACTAGATAATGTTACGAGCCTTATAAAACTGTAATTAAAATGAAAAACTCAGTAGTGAAGTTCGAAAGACTGATAAGATCATACTGAACGGATGCGACTCAATAGTATAAACATACAGCAAATATAATTGTTCCTACAATCTCCTGTTTCACTGAGATTCAAGAATATAATGCATGGTTATTGATTATGAAGGATTAGTAAACAGCAAAAATACAACTTATTACATGTATTCTTAGAGACTTAGATGAAAATACCTACATTATTCAAGCATATTTGTTTATAAACAGGGTAAACTATCACATAGGATTGTTAAGACTCTGTAGCAGTATCATTCGAAGTACAAAGATGTTCGATGGTTAAATACCTCCAACCACTACTTAACATTTCAACACAGTGCATGCGTTGTCGACTCACCTAAACCAGTGGCTACAATGCAACTTGATTACCAATTATAGGACTAAACAAACATGGGATTGATCGCTTCTCAGAGATCTTACCCCAAGCCACTAAACTACAATGATAATACCTTATTAGGAGTTCAGTTTTTTTTTAAATTATGGATTAGCTTATACAAATAATAGAAATTAAAACTCCATTATACGGTATAGTACAATACATGTTACGTATTATGGCAATTTACGAAGATATGACGAAACTGTATTCACACAAGAATTACCTAATCAACTTCTCTAATCTTTCACTCTGCAAACAATTAGAAATACGTAATTACTGATATTTTCAGATCGCTTGGTATAAAACATAAAACATTATAAGGACTACGGCAACATCAACTGGAGCGAACATGCCATTTTAATAACTTTATTCATCACTAATGACTCGGTGCGTAAACCCATTACAAAAACATTGATCTTATGCCAAATGCACATATAACAAGTCGAATAGACACATGTCTTATGAATAATATGCATACACAAATTCATCAGGAAAGGAAGTGAAAAGACAAACTACAAGTATGTTTATAAGTATGTATGTTACTTTATTGATAAATTCATTTGACATAAAAAAAGAAAATTAACACAGGTTCGCAGAAAAATAAAATAGTAACATCAAATCATGAAGAATAGGAATTCAAGGACTTCACAGCGAGAGTTTAAAAAGTGGTCAATTGGTAGAATGAACAGAGTCTCTAAGTTTGTAAGGAGTAAGTGGAGACATATCACAATGGCTACTGACAAAAAAGAATTCATATTAAATAATCAGAGAGATGATAACTGAAAATAATACATCAAGCGAAATATTGTACAGAGAAATAGAGAATAGTGATAGAGAGAGGAAGAAAATACCAAGATATTTACAATAACCAGCAATGTAATAGCATTAGATGTACAACAAAGAAATAAGTCAAGAATATAAACATTGCTTTAGGTCTAGGTTGACTTTGCAGACGAAATGATGTAAATCTTATACCACTAAACATTCTGGGTGTTAGTTGTTGACTACGTACAACCAACTGCTTCAATAAAACAGATAGCCAATCCTTTAGGTTAACTACAACAATAAGGATAATAAAAATAAAGTGGTATTATTGAGTAAAGAAAATAACTTTTAGTTCTATTCAAAGTTTCATGAAACGCACAATCTTGAGGAGAGAATAAACTTTAATACCAAAAAAGGCAGCTAAATATTCAATATAACTGGTAGTATGATCAATGTTATGGACGGCTGTAAGGTTCCTGAAACGTTCAATATCATAAATTTTATTCCAGTAAACGCAACACATCGGAGTACTACGTTTTTACACTAGTAATATAAATGCTCCGGTGAACTAAGACCCTGAAAGTGAACAATTTTTATCAATCAACCTATTATTCCTATTGTCTAAACCTGTATTTTAAACCTGAATAGCAACTGGTAAGGATTGCTCAGGACAGAGTTCGATGGAGAATGTTGCTGGGCTGCTTGTGCTCCTCCACGAAAGGTAACAGGCGTAAGTAAGCAAGTTATATGAATCTACTCAATGAAAAATTGGAGTAAAATATCTTAATAATATTATAAAATAACATATATATCTATAAGAAACTAATATCAGGTGAAACAGTCGATTTTATTCTTTAAATCTCACTGTTTGTTAATCGGTATCAAATCACCTTAATTTTTTTCCGATGGAGTAGTGGTTTGTTCGCTAAGATATTGGAATTTCACCCACTAAGTGTCAGGTTGGAACCCCGAACCCCGACTACTTCGGTTCAGGCAACTGGATGGTATCTCACTAGCTCTCACACTTGCAGTGTGGTTCATGCCTAAGTACTGGGTGAATGAGTTAACTGATCTTGAAACTTTTCTGACAGTTTCAACATAATAACACCCGACATTAAAGTGATACACAACATACAAAATTAATCTACATTCTTTGCTCATAACCCAACTGTTATACAAATTGCATTTATTCAGTTAAAAGCAAGTTCGCACAAGTAGAATACGTTATACATTAAGTACAGTACAAAATCTTACTTAATTGATGTAAGGATTTAAATCTGATGGGTAGAGAACGTAGAAATGATTCTGTAGGTTCAAAAGACTGAGGAAGACCTCTCAAATCAACAACTGCTGATTCGTCTGTATAATTATTGTTTGGTTTATGTATTTTAATAGATATTTCCGATTTCCTAGAAAAAAATAACAAGCAAAAAAATATTCATATGATCTACACAATAATACACGTATTGCAAGTATCATTACCAAGGTTTGACTTGATAATTTCAAATAAATTGAGCATGGGGTAGATTGTTATAAATAAAAATAATGTGTTTGTAATATCCCAATGAGTAGAGGAATTAGACTTGCTGACGTTTCGTGACTCAGTGTAAGCCACTTCTTCAGAGACGTGGCTTTTACTCACATTTATAGTGTAAGCCCTAGTGATACGATTCAAGTCCAAGAATTGAATGTATTAAATAAAAAGCCACTGAATTATATACAATAATATACACGTAGTACAGATGTGTAAATGTACTGGAAGCTAACATCCTACAAAATTTTTAAACTTGCTACTGAAACTTACGAATCACGAATATCCATTGGAAATCTTAAGACTGGCTTAAGTGGAGTAGAATAAATTAAGAAAACAGGTATAAGATAATCAGATATTTAGTAATTTAATAGTTGAATCAATTAAAGCTAGACCACCTTGGAAAACCTGGAAGCACTGGAAGGCCGTCTTGTCCTAGTATGGAACTCCTCAGCAGTGTGCATCCACGATCCCACTCTTAGGATTTGAACTCACGATATTTGGCATTTGGAGAAAATCAGAGTAAATGTTCTTGGACCTGTATGGTCGATCATAACTTATGCCATTCAAGAAGTTCATGATTATCAATTACTATCGACCAAAGGATTATAATCTAGGTTTAATAGTTTGATGAATCCCTTAAAAAAGTAACCCAGTGATAATTTCATATGAAACTTACTTCAATTTAGCAAAGGTGGTACATAGAGGAAGAGAATATCTAGGTGTGTACGAAAAGTCTAAAAACACCTTAATTCAAGTGGATTAACAAGGGATTTTTGTTTATCACTTATCAGTTCAACATGGTAGTAAGTGAGGAGTTGAAATACAAGTCAAATATAAACACAACTAATGAAGGTATCAGGCGGAATTTTCTAAACAGGAAACTATTCCTAGAAGTTTGTTTTTGTCAGAGTTTGTCTGAAAATCTTCTAGGATTTTATCCAAAGAAATAGTATAAACTAATATTCATTGAACTAAATGGTGAACGCAAAATCTAAATAACCATAAGATATAACGAAGGGTGGTACTTCATAAAATAACCATATGGTTGGAACTTACGGTATTTCAGGTTCAACAGAATATGATGTCACAGGCTTTTGGTACGTTGGACAATATTTTCCAAGAAGTATTTGACTTCTACGAAGTTCCTGTGTACGCTCATACAAAGAGTCTTCAAGTAACGCGACCTGAGTAAAATATATGTACAATAATGTTAAGTTGTCTTATTATGTCAACTAATAAAAACAAATGCTTCAAATAAAAATTTACTTCACAAAACGTAACTAACTTGTTCATCCAATCCTTCAATGGTTGCTTTTAAATGTGCACGTTCTACAGTTGCATGGGATAAGCGTTCTTTCAAAGTAAGAAACTCTGCATTACTTGCCTTCAACTGATCCATAGCCATAATCGCTTCCTCCTCAGCTACTTTTATTCGCTGTAACAACTGAGAATGTAACGAATCTTCATCAACACTTTGGTTCGGGTTAACCAAGTTATCATGCTTTAATTCACTAATTGAATGAAGCATCGAATTTTGAACACTATTTATTACTGCTTCATTGTCATTTCTCATTAATGATACTGGTGCCGATTTATTGGATACATGAAGATTATTTAACTGAACCTCACTTAGGATGCTTGGTTCGTTCATACTACCATATTTTAAACTTCCATCCATCAAAATTACACCGGATGAAGTTTCGCATGAAGTTATGCCATTGCCTACCACCAGTTAAAACAGATAAGAGCAAAAACTATAATAATCATAAGATGACTATGTACAAAACAAAGATTAATTAATTTTCAGTGAAACAGTTCATCTGAGAAATCTCATCATACCAGCTAAATATGAAAAGTAGCACAACAATCGATTAGTTATTCTTGAAATAGTAACAACTGTGATGCTTAACCCAAATACTACTTCGTTAGTTGTAGCTAACGAGAAGTCAGGTGGGGAAGACCAATTTATTGTTGAATGAGAAAATTACAGAGTATCTTCGTGAAATATGAAAACCATACATTAAATATTTCATTTACACATCTTCCATCAGTTGTTATCACAATTACTCTCTTTATATTCCTGTTATCTTCAACTCGATCTTCCCAATCTTATGCTGCCAGGCATTCTGTTATATCCTAGTGAAGATTAAATTTCAGGCAACTTCTAAGAACTATTAATGGACTAATTTTATATATATACCTATTGTATAACTGTTCAGTAACTAGATCATGTATATCTGTATTCCTCTTATTACAAGCTTCATTTCGGCCTATAGATTATTATTAAACGACTTACTGTTCTTAAGTTATGTTCAGTTAATTGATTACAGCCTCCCACGTTCACAGCCACTTTTTGGCTTAAAATTGTATAAATGTTATTTCCTATTTTAGGGTGTGATGCGGTCCGTTTGGCTGGTACATAAACCAAGTATGTTTGAAATAAATGATTCACATAGTGGAAGCTGTTATTGGCGTTCTGGACTCAACTGGACGGGCTAGAAGAGCAAAGGACCAATAAGGACGCTAGGCTGCTCATACCGGTCGAACGTCATTGGTTTAGCAGTGCTAAGATTAAATAAGTCGTATTTCGATTGGCGAATAAATCACGTGATAACCAGCTGGGCTTAAAGTCACAACACATCCGGCTTCTGATCCGTGTTACATACTACTTATATCTGTCGACGTAAGCAACATATATCACAGGTATTCTGATTTCTTTCCTTTGTAAAGATAAATGCAAATAAATGATAACTGGAGTATAAACTTATATATACACGTAAACAGGCCCAACTCCAATACCCCAAAGTTATCGGCAGGGAAAATGACAATGAAATGTATAAATCAAACGATCATTGTCATCACTAAATTCTTATTGCCTACTAATTTCTCTAATTATGGAACATCCATATTCGTGGTCAGGATGTTTCAATTTGAGTAGACTGCAGAAATTAACAAAAGATGTAGTCCGTAAAATGAAATAACAAAAACCAAATAACAGGAGGGTTGAACGTCTAAAATTTACCTATGATGAATGATTCCGTTTGAACATATTTACAATTTTTAACCGGGAGATGTGATGAGATGTTATCGTATCCATCAATAGGGTCAATAGCTATATCAACGTTTTGGACAAAATCAGTTGCGGGAATATCATTCAACAAATCTGTTTGAACGAAACTGTCTATAAAGTGTGGCTTGTGTATCGCTTTCTTCGTAACGGTGCTGTCCTCACAAACAAAATTCTGATGATTTATTATATTCCCTTGATGATTGATTAAATCAGGAAACGGGTTCATATTAGATTGTTTCCGTTGTAAAACATCGTTGAGACGTTGAAGTTTTTGACAGTTTGTACAGCTTGAGGAGTCAGATGAGTTTGTATTCGCCAAACCATTAAGTTTGCTTGAAGAAATGCTTTGTGATATAAGGCGATTTAACTGCATCCGTAAAGCTCTTGCATCTGAACTTGCTTCAGCTAACTGACCCCGAAGTCTTGATGCCTCACGATCATCATCTTCTCTTTGACGTGCCATATCTAATCGTAATTGAGTAAGCTCATTTTGAGCAATAGATAATTTCAGTTTTAAATCATCGATACTTAAAGTATCTATATCTTGCAGTTCATTATTTGTGTGTAAATGTTTTAGTAAATTCCCAATGAGAACTGTGAAGTAAAAAAGATAATAGTAATATTCACATTATTGAAAGTTTTACTTATTTACACTTATCTCTTATATCGATATGACATTTATTTATTTATTTTAACACAGATATTGGTACGAGGAGGCAACAAATACATATGCGCCACACAAATCTCATTTGATATTTGTGAGGGTTATGATACTGCCCGGGTGCCCAAACAGAAGCAGGTGGTTTTCTTAGAGGGCCACACCCGGTGCCTTCGACCTGAAGGTCTGATCCACAAGGCAGTGGAGCATTGTAAGGAGATGCAGTCCCATGGAAGCCGGTGACCAACAATTGGTTTATACGCCATTTGTTCCCGCAGGATACTGGAGCCCATGTGCACCATTGGTTTGGAATCCGGTTAAAGCGCCGGACATTCGCTTTTCGTTTTATCAATTTCGTAAACAACACTCCCGCCACGAGAAGGCAGTGAGTAGGACTTCCCTGACAGAGGCTATATACGCGTGGCCATGTGAGAGCATTTCGAGAGGGACAGCGGACCCTCCCCACTCTCGGTCGTACCAGGGCATTTGGGGGCATACGAAGTAGAGAGCTTGTAAATTGAATAATGAAATGAAAACGGAGCCACACTTGACCGCGTTTGAATCCCACTCCATCTATTTCCGTTTGGGCGAGCGGGCAATATCATTAGTCCCTACACTTTGAGTGTGGCTCATACCCAAGAACCTGGTGAATGAGTTAATTAATTAATTTATATTATAATCACTAACAAACAGAATGATATAATGATACCAGAGCAATAAAACAGAAAACACTATTTATCAAACATACGGTAATATGGAGTGATTAAATTGATCAAATTCTTTGTCTACCAGGAAGTAGCTCACTCACCATATGATACTGAAAGGATTTTAGCATATTTAATAATTTGTGACTCTGATAAGATACCTACAGGATCTATTAAGCATAGTTCATCAGCATTTCAGACTGTCCTATGGAAATATAAAGCAAATAGTCGAGTACTTAATCAACCATGGTGTCAACGCTCTAGTTACATAGTATGAAAACCTGGGAGAGATGAAGCATATTTTTAAAATTACATCTAAGGGAAAAATACATCATTCATAAAGGTGATAATAATTGCTTTATTTCGTACCATACGTCTGAACTTTCAAGCGAATTCGCAGCTTAATCAGCTAATATATTTGTCCAAATAATTAAGATCAAAAGAGGTGATCGCATTAGTAAATACGAATTGTTGATAGATCATTTATTGAGTACTACAACACATTGTTTGAAATAGAAAATATTATAATTTCGTTGAACTTACTTTATGATTGGTTTTTTTAAAAATTACATATGGTTGTATTTAAATACATCTGGAACTGTATATCGAAACACAATTTTGTGAGTGCCTATAGTGCATGACTTAAAACCCAATACATGGAGTAAGATATAGTTATTCAGTTTCTTTTATTCGTTGCTTTAACCATTAAAAAATGAGTCACATTAACGCACTGGGACAGTTCCAGTAAGTAATTATTTCAAAATGCTGAAATAAAAAGTTAGTAAACCGTGCAAGGGAGGAATCCTTAGTGTAAAAGAATAAACTTGACAAAATTATTACAAAAACACAGGAGAATACAAGCTCTCTTATGAGTAAGACGACACAACAAAGATTACTTATCTGTCGGTAAGGAAACACTATAATAAACGTTTCATATAATCAAACTAACGATGAGATTAACACAATAAACTAACAATTGATAAGCAAGAGACGAATAGGCGTGAGATCAAATCAGTTACTAGACACAAACAAATTTCAATCTTATAAAGCACAAACCTCGCATATTTTGGTTCAAAGAACTAGTGTTCAGATTTGTTTTACTGAAGAATAATTTAAACTGTTCTAATAAAGCGGTTGCTTTAGCTAATTGATTACGTAAATGAGTAATCTCCATAGAGGTTCTACGTTTTTGTGCTTCATAATTTGTTTGATGATGACGAATAGTATCTACACTGGAATCCAGTTCAATACCCATATGATCTAATCGTTCTTGTAATTGATCAATACGTGTTTTTTGATTTATACGGTATTTTCTTAAACGATCCAGTTGACCAACTGCATTCAATAAAGCTTCTTGTAATTCACACTTCCTTGGCTCAACGGATTCAGAAAAACCAGGATGTTTTAGTGTACGATTGAGAACATTCCTTGGATTAACCAGTCCATATTTTAATAACTAAAATGAAATAGTGCGAAATGATTTATATACTTAATGAGTCAAAATATTTTATGAATAAACTGACAAATGTAAACATAACGATTAAGAATAAATTTGTCACCAATACGATGCATCCCATACTCAGGTGACATGAAGAATTTCGTAAAGGTGAACAGTAAATGACTCTGAATACATAACAACTTCTAACAGTAAAGTTCTCTTGTACTAAATACTAGTTTTAGAAGCCGAAATTCAAGACATTAAACTGATGATTATCACTCATGTCATCAGGAATAACCACATTGCTTCATAATTTATCCCAAGTGTTTCTGATCCCTGATACATCTCTAATCCCAACCACTCTTCTTAGTATTTTAAATCGAGGATTACTGTAGTACCTTATTTTCACGTCCTGTGTACGTCCGATTCAGATACAGATACACACGCAACGTGAGTTACATAATTAGGGGTGGCTTGGAAGTTGTAAATGCATAACCGAATGGTGTACGCAAATCATGGATAGACGTACTACTGCCCTCTTGATCCAGACCTTGAAAAGGTGCATAAACGGCATCAACCAATAGCGTGCCAAATTTACCATCTCGCATCTACTGTTTGATATTAGACGGCATTCGAGCTCAGGAACATGATACATCGAAATTAAATCAGTTATTAGCAAACAACTAGCAAGGGGGAATTTCTTACACAATGAGCAATAGCTGGAGATGGTATGTCATGCTTCCTAAGTGCTTTTAGGCGGCCTTTTTAGTACAATTATCACATAGCTTAGTGGTTGATGCAATTAGCTTTAAATCAAGTTGAGAATTGTAGGTTCAAAACCCGTTTGGTTTGTGTATCTAATAGCATAATTAAACTTCAAAAGGTTTTACTCCGAACAAATCAGTTACAATCTGTATTGTCAAATGTCATGTATGAACAAAGAAAAAACAATTATGGAACAATCAAGAGAAATTTATCAATGAGGTTGTAAAGAAAAACTCCTTACAGTTTCATATTTGATTTCTCCTGGATTTTTAAATCCATTAGGCTTTGGATCGGAAAACGTTTGCTGATTAAGTTGTTCATTCTTTGATATAGAATCAGTTTGAACAGAATTGTGTTTAGCAGTTTTTAGTGAATTTTGAGCTTGGATTTTGCATTGTTTAATGCGTTCTTCTAATTTTCGTTGGAATGTATAAATGATTTTCAAATTATCTGAGGCATCTTGTTCACGGGATAGCAAGAGAGACTGAATATGTTTTAATTGACTATGTGTTGATGTTACATTAGAACATATGTCTAAAACACTAGGATGTGGATTAAGTTGGGATAAAGTTGACAAAGTAACAGAAACTGAATCACCACACTCGTTCAAATTATTTAATAATTGTACTAGTTGAAAGTGATCTGTTGAAAGACGATTATATAACAGAGAAACAATTCGATTGCAGGCAGCTAATTGTAATTCTAAATTTTTGACTGAAGACAAGTCACCATTATTCATAGCCTCCAACTCAGATTCAAATTGCTGACATAAAGAAACAGTCAAATAGTAATGATAACAAAATAAAGTTTTCTCAAAAATATAAGCTACAATCATCAAATATTATCATGATTGAATCATATTATGAATTTAAAAAATAATCCACGCTGCACAATAGAACAGTATGATAAATGGATCGCACAAATAAGAACGAAAATCACCTGGTGCAACAGACAAAAAAATAATACAGAGATAAAAATAAAATGAATTTTGAGATGGTGGAGAAGATTTGTAGCTCAGGTGGATGATTTTGGTGGTGTTTTGTTCTTTGAACTGGATGGTTTGGTCGTGGAGCTTTCATCGTTCTTCTGAACGACATCATCAGCACAAACCTCAGATAGAAGTGAAGTGTTCGAATTTCTCCATATGTGTTTCACAGCTTGTTCTGTGCACCTCGATGTTGATTGGTTGACATCGAGGTGCACAGAACAAGCTGTGAAACACATATGGAGAAATTCGAACACTTCACTTCTATCTGAGGTTTGTGCTGATGATGTCGTTCAGAAGAACGATGAAAGCTCCACGACCAAACCATCCAGTTCAGAGAACAAAACACCACCAAAATAAAATGAATTAATTGTTGACTACAGTTATACAGTTGCGCATAACTAGGTTTCACACATAATGAATGATGAGTAGAAATGAGTCAAAAGTATCATAAACTAAATGACTAGTCAGATACAATATAGGACCAGGCACATATGTGCATCGGTTCAAGTTGCCACAACTCATTAGCACAACAAGATGAACACCGAATTCATAGAAGTAGTTACTTCAATGGTGGTAATCTATAAAAGAAAGATTGTGTATAAGGATATAATAAATAAAGAAAAAATCAGTTCGTAGAAAGAAAGGTATAAAGCAATTTTAATCTCACGGTTTAAAGGAAGACAAAGAGTGTATACACCGACGCCATTGTGATCGATTCTGAGCCATGTCACAAAGAGTCTCCAACCATCGGTCACGACAGTCACAAGGACTCCAGCTAAGTAGTCTGCATCTATCAACATGGCTCAGACTGGAAGTTAGTGACTTCAAGCACTGATGCCGCGTTTTGGTATGCCCGCCCCTAACTTTCTTCCAACCATCTCCAACACCAGTCAGCATTGCACGTCCTGGTAATCGGTGTTCAGGCACACGTAACACGTGGCCCAACCATCTCAGTCGATGAAGATTCACAACCTCATCAACTGATTTACCATCATTCCCTAATACCATGCGTCTAACCTCATTATTACTTACCCGGTGATCCCAGCAGACGCCAGCAATATTTCTAAGGCATCTATGGTCAAATACTAGTAGCTTACGAGTGTCTTCTACTCTTAATGGCCATGTCTCACTGCCGTAAATTAAAACAGAACGAACTGCTGCGCAGTATACTAGTCCCTTAATTGATAGACGGATATCTCGCCTGCGCCATAGGTGACGTAAGTTGGCAAAAGTCAAACGAACTTTTTGAATCCGTGTTGAAATTTCGTCAGACACCAACCCATTAGGGCTGATCAGACTTCCAAGATAAGCGAAGTTGTCAACGCGTTCGACTACTTCACTCCCTATCCTTAGTTCAGGTATTGATGCAGGCTACTCCTGAAGCGACAACTTGCATTTAGAGAAGAAACGCATTCCAAACATCGTGGCATTGTTACTCAGTGTCCAGTATCATCACCAAATAGTACTATGTCATCTGCGTATTCTAAGTTGCCAAGTGGACTTCCTTGAAGGAGATCAATTCTTGAGAATTCAGACGGTAAGTGCATTATTTCCAGAATTATGTATATGATGAAATTAAACAAAATTGGAGATAGTGGACAATCTTGCCGGACAGAAGTTGAGATTGCGAAACCAGATGACACATGACTCGACTAGTAGCTACGGATCCTTGATTCTGATTTCGTGTGTACTCACTGATTCATCTAGAACATACATGCTAAAAGTCAGTCAACGACCAAGTTATGTTCACACATTAGATTATCTAATGTTTAACAATTTTACTATCATTGATAGCAGCATTTCAACTCTTTCTATTCATCCTGATTCCATATAACTGTGCTGATGTGCTGTGGGATACTGGATTGACACATTCGTGCCAGCACATAAGAGCCTATCACTGATACATAGATAACTACAACGGCATTTCCAAGTCACAACAAAAACGGACTATTTACAAAAGAAAGATTTCCACAAAACGCTGCACTGCTGAAATACGATTTTGCCAAAAAGCTGTTGCTAAATATACGTATTCACAACTGGATTGCCAATAACAAACAGCTATCCAAGATGATTTTTACAAGTCTCCACCGTTTTCTGAAATTCATAAGAAGAACCGGACTTCCTTTGGAACTTCAACTGAAAATATCCAAACCCCACTGTAAGACAGATATTTGCGCCAATCAAGGAAAAACAAGACTTGAAGCTCTCAAAAGTGCGTCGACGTATTTATTTTTGTCACAGTGACTAATGTGTTAAGCAACGATTATTGCTGGGACCGGTAGAATAATGATAAACTCCAGTAAAAAAATATAAAAATACCCTACTAATAGTTCGGTACATACCTCCTCTGAATGGCCAGAATAACCAATATCAATATGACAAGTGTCTTCGCATTTGCTGTTCCACTGATTTTGACTGAAATTGTCACCGAAAAATACGTCAGATGAGCACATTCTTAAAGTGTCGAAAATGATGGTGAATATAACCTTAGCCACACGTATTCCGATACTTCTGAACGTCGCGCGCTATGTAAAAAGGGCAGTGGTATTTTTTCTCAGAGTATATTTTATAGTATTGACCGCTTAATTAGGCATCGAGACTACCGTTTTTGCTTTGATTGAATTCATTTAAGTTAAAGTAATCTCCAAGGCTATCGCATTTTTCTGAAGTAACTTATCATCTGTACTTTTGAGTGCAAATAGAAAATAAGTCAGTGGTATTGTTTTCCTCGTTGTGTATATCTTTGTATGTTGTTTGTATCCGAAGGTGTTAAGGTCTTTTTGTAACTACTGAAGTCGGATGTTTCATTGTTGTTACGTACAGTGAAATGCAAACCTCTTCTTTTGTTTGTGTTCAGTGTCTATTACTTGTCAAGCCTTAGAAGACGCTTTTTACAGAGACCAATTTTCGCTGTCGTTCTTCCTGTGAGATCACGAAACAAATTTATGGTGCAGGTTGAAACATCGTTGTGTCAGACCTGCATGCCACTCCCCTGTCGATGATGGGATTCAATGTGACAACGACAATAAGTGGTATCAAAATGTGTGCACAGAACTCACACCGGCTGCATATGAAATGTGCTGCAAACCACTATAAACTTGACTGTGCAAAGCATACTGCTCCACAAAGTCTCTGCTGAGTCTTAAGGAGATCGAGCAGCTGGACGCAGCTAGAAAATTGCCCTGTGATAAACCGGTAGCAGTAGATCAGTAGAATTCTGTGAAGATGCAACAGGTATCTGGAGTTTCACAACACTTTAACCAGTAGCACCATCTACTATGAATCGTACCCACCAAGTGAAATCAAAAGTCAGAAGCGACAAGGTTCGAAGATATATTTGATAGGCTATCAATATATCGGGAATCAACCTATCTAGACTGAATGGCGATTGCAGGGGATGTTGAGTACAGCGTTTGCACTCGTGATCTGGTGCGGATGCACCACCGAGCGCCTTCAGCTAAGTGAGTCCATTAAAACTAACGCGGTCAGCATCTAATGTCGAAGACTGACAGAACTATTGATTTTGAGGATTTGTTTACCGCTTCATCAGTTTCTGAGGGATTAGTCAGCGTTATCATAAGCGCAGCTTAAGATCATCAAGTTGGGTATCCTTAGATAAGCGGATAACCAGCATACAGATGTAGGCATTGGTACAAGGAGAAAGAAAAAGCACTACGAGAAGAAACAAATTATGGGCTGCACTAAGGCATGTGAATATACAGTTACAATCTCGAACTCACATATCAACGCAAAGCAGACAATGGGGAAACGAAGTTAGAGCGATATAGATGATGTGATCAAGAGACAAAATAGGATTAGATTATGCTGCAGTTTGTGACGGATCCCAGTAAAAGAGCTTATTCAAGACATAACAATACGCACAGTTACTAGTGATATACCAAAATGAATTAACACTACAAACCTAAGTGTTTGTTTATGAGTAAAGCAAAAAGGTAACAAATAACACAATAAAAATGGTATATTAAATAAGAAAATGATAATAGTTGTTATGAAATGAATGTTACTTGTAAGCTTCTGAGATAACATTCAAAAATAGGTTCACTTGATTAACGAATGTTCCTCTGCATGTGATAGCACCAACAGCGTAGTGAGAAAGATTAAATCCGATAGCATTTTTCAATTAATAATCCGGGCCCAAATTCCAACGAAGTGTAGAATGGTTTAAAACAATGTCATAACACTATTATAATATTCTAATACTAGCCGTGGCCAATAAAGCAGAAGAACAGACGGCAGAGAGGCAACCGCTCAGTGGCATCCTCCATGGTTGAAGGCTACTGAGCACTTAAAGACCAAATTGTCGTAAAACGGTTGGTGCATCACCTGGACAATCCATAGGGTTTTGCAGAAGCGTTCAAATCAAGACAATTTCAGATTTGATGAGTTTTAATGACTCGAGATCTGACGCCAACTGGCTCGTTTCTGATTCCTACCGGGATATACATATCGCCAACCGACCAAAATAGCATTAGTGAATAAACGAATTAAATAAGTCAAATATGAGAAGGAAATAAGAACGCGTGTACTTCATACAGCCGTTGATCCAGACAAACGATCAAAGAATGAAAGAGAAATGACGAGCAGTGGAGAAGGCGTGTTAGCCAATTCGATTTAATCAAGCGTTAATCGAGATTTATAGTCACACAATTATAGGTCACATACATGTTGTGAGTAGGATACGAAATGCACACACGCATGCTGACATAAAGACAATCAATGTTGATAAGCGAATAATTAACAATATCAAAATGTTGCTTGAGAAGAATATATAAATTGGTTTGTGCACGAGCTATAATAAACTGCGTGAGATCCACATGCAATCAGCCACATTATGTTTGGTAACATCAATCTTTCAAGTAACGAAAGTAATGCCATCGTAATGATGCATGATATACGCCAAATCGTCAATGATATTATGTTATCTCGACGACTTAGCAGTTGGGACAATTTTGAGGCCTGATTGAAAGAGGTACAAAAGGTCATTCAGTTATCTACAACGTAGGACCAGGCGCATATATGCATCGGTCGAAGTTGCCACACCGCATTAGCACAGCAAGGTGAGCACCGAATTCATAGGAGGTAATAGATCTTCTGCGATTGATAATACTCTGTACAATATACTCACATTAAGTGTCATATCAGTATGTTGAAAGAACAAAGATGACTCAACTCTAAGGTATTATTTTCTTCAGATATGTTTGTACTTATGGACGTTAATGCAGTGCATCAGAATAAGATATCTGTCTTCAGGATGTAGATGATGATGGTGATCAACGTTCTTCCGAAGAGCATACACCTAACTCACCATCACAACTTTACGAAGAAGGCGAAGTTGGTCATCTATGTATGCTTCGTTTCAAACGAATTTATTTTCCAAATCTAAATATTGACACTGCCAATCTGGATTTTGGGTCCGTGCAGTAAATTGTGAGCTAAGGATCACCTCGATTTGAACCATGCACAACCATCCTTGCACAGAAAGATTTATTTTTTAGATCCTTCCAAACGACGGTTGACGTCAAGTGAATGAATATATTTAAGAGCGTTTCTACTGAGTAATACTTTAACTCGTAGCTTACAAAATCTGGTTTATTGGAAGTTCCATAAACAGCGATCACAATTGTACCCAGGTTGTTAAACTCACATTCTAATTGATTGAGTTTAGACGCTAAAAATATCAACGAGATTTTTCAGCGCGTTCAGGGAAACGCTGAAGTACAGGTATTCAATAAAAATGGGAACATATCTATGATTTGCTTCAGTCTCAGTGAGCAAATAGTTATTTATCATGCGTTCCCATAGGTAGTATGTATTGACTTGACTTATCAGACTAAAAAATTTGGGTAAGTAACGAATAGTAAGAAATTTATCTTAAACTTTCCCACTGTTCCAGCTGGTGGCTACCGATAGTCTTGGACAAGGGCACACTGTTACGTATGCACTTTGCAGACAAGAACAACGCGAAGATGTCGTATGACTACTCGAATACTTCAAAGACATAATGCGCGGTACTTATTATACAAGCACTTTCGTTACGGATTCGGCAGCGACTGAAATTCCCGAGGTACAGTCTACGCACAGTCACGCCGATATAATACTAAGTTCATTCTATGTCTTAACATGACTTCTCAGGAAGGTAAGGGCTAACTGTACAAATTATTTGCTGTAGTTCGGAGATCCCGATGTACTCAAAAGCTTGGAACATCTCGTAAAAACCAGGCGATCTGACACGTAAGCTTCGCTTTTCATAATGCATTATATTCAGATTTCCTTAGAAGTATGAGTGCCTGAGGACCCATTTTCACGAGCCTATGATTACATAAGAGATAATTGGATTGTTTGGAAGTCAATGTGGCCTCGCTGTTACCAGAGTCATGCACTAAGCCTGGACAACCACACAAACAATCGTGTGGAAAGTGCTGATAAATACCTGAAAGAATGTCTCAGTGGAGGTGTTTCGCTTCTGTTGATGTTCTGGAAAGTCTGTGGTAAGACAGACACTGACCTACGTCTGCGTTCACACGACGCATTAAAGGATCTTTAACGTTTTCCATAGCTTGAGGTAAGAGATGTAGTTAATTTATCATCGATTCCAGGTTCCAAAGTCATTCCAAACTTTTAAGTCATCCCACAGATTTCGCAGCTGTAAATTATAAACGAGGTAGGAGAATGAAACACGAAGTAACAGCAGGGAAATACATCCGCTACTACGGCAAGGGCATAATGTATATTGTCGATACTTCACGGGCACGATGTGCTAGTCAATGTCTCAATGACTACATGTTGCCGTATGGTCATATTTTGTTTGCACACGCCAAAGATAAAATTGGTGTTTTTTATCTCTATAAGCATCATGGATTTATTTCGAGATACTAGTCGCTTGACAAGAAACTACAAAGTGGACTTGGTTCTCCGTGCGTTGGACAACAAGTGAAGCTCTACAGAAGTTCGTTAATCACTACCACTCAATCCATGCTCTCTTAAGCATTTTGATACATGTTAGAAGGCAAGGAATTCATAGAATTTACGAGTCACAAACCACTGACCAATGGACTAAAAGTGAGAGTCGATAAACACTCACCTCGATAAGTCTGACACTTTGGGTATATATTACAGTTCACAAGTGATATCCGACATGCCAAAGGTCAGGAAAACCCAGCGTCACATGCATTATCTCGACTAGAAATGAATGTGATACAACAGTCTACAGTAAATTTCGAGACATCGAGAAACAGAGAAGAAGAGGATCAAGAATTGCGAAACCTACTTACAACTAACAAGTCTAGTCTCAAACTAAAGCAGTTACCATCGCCTACTGACGGTACTGTAATCTACTGTGACACGACCAATGTAATTTCACCACCTTTCCTTCACAAAAGTATGCGAAAACTTATATCTAATAACCCACATTCTTTATCTCATCCCGGTGCAAAAGCTTCGACTGAGCTAATCAGTGCCAGATATATATGGCCAAGTTTGCAGAGGGTTGTACACAAATGGGTTAGAGT